GATATGATTATGATATGATTATGGAACGAAAAAAAAAAAAATATTTTTGAAATTGAATGGAAATATCAAGATTAAAACTTCTATATTTTTTTATGTGTGTTCTACATGATCAAATAAAATCTAGCGTAACCGTGGTTTATTCAATTAATAGGAAGTTTTTGAAATACTGTATATTAGGAAGATTGTATCATCTTATTTATGAATTTAGAATTGGTCACCAAGTATAAATCATGAACGTTGATAATTGTTATGCTTAGTGATGCCGATTTAACTGATAGGAATATAATTAAAACAAGATCTACAATAAGTAAACTCTTTTTCGTAATAACAAGAGACTTGTCATTTATTCTATAATGGAAGCAATTTTGGAATTTGTACACAAAAGTTAATTTTAACTTTAAACATAGGGTTTAACAATTTAACTACTAGCTAAAACTAAAATACCAATTTTACATTTGGGAGTTCACTAAAACGAGCGCGTGATCTAATGTCTTACTACAATACTATCATTACGTTCAATAAATTATTACCTTAAAAAGGTTGGAGAATTCTTGATTAATTTCGTTACGAAAAATTTTCTAGGTGACAATTTTATTATTTTTTATAAAAAAAAGCATTGATTATTTGAATCTTAAGAAAAGGAAATTCGTTAATATAAATATTGATCTCTTTTTATACCTACAGTTAGACCTCGATATACCGAGATTCGATATACCGATATACAATTCACCCTCACTATATTTAAATGAATCCCATGGGCTGGAGATTAAAATTCATTATAGTAAGAAATTCACTATACTGAGGCCCGCCTGAGGGTCATTTTATTATACATAAAAAATCTGTGCATGAACTTTTCTTCATTATAGCAAGTTATTCACTATATAAAAATTCGGTGAACCATACGTTAAAAACTCGATATAACGAAAATTTTACTTTCTTACTACTACATAAATACGAGAGAACATATAAATATCGGTATAATTCTGATATAACGTTATTTTTCAAAGATTTTCATATGGATCTCAACATAACGTTATATTGGAGTTTGACTTTTTATTAAATTTGAAAAATCTGATCAAGTTGAGAAACCTAACTGCTAAAGAATAACTTTTAATTTATTTTTTCAACCCAATTTAGAATTACAGATACAGATATTCAAGAACAAAAAATATAACATTCGTGGGAAAAAAATTATAACAATATGATAGTACATCAGTACTAAATTAGTAAGTTTCATTGTATAATTGTATGCCCGCAGATCACCTAATTTTTTATTTCAAATTAGCAAATATGGGTAACAAGGCAAAATATCTTTTATTTAAATTAATTCTTACTTTTTATAAAACAAATATTGTTTAATAACAATAATATGACTACTTTACATTGTAAGCATGCACTGAAACTAAGAGGAGCCTCGTAAACACAAATTGGAGTCTAAAATCTCTGAAAATTATGGACTTCAAATTACCCATAACAAAATCCGATGTTTGAAAGTTTTGACAGAACAATGCCTCTTTTTTTAGATAACCTTATTATTTAATGGAAAACTTATTATATCAGATATGTTATCACAATGAGTCATTTGATATGCTGATCCATATCTACACTTTCAAAACATTCCAAAGTAGATTATCATTTGAACTTTAATTTGTCTTTTTAAGGCTATTAATAATGAAAGATAGCTACTATAACATTTAATTAAAAGACTTACGGTTAGTATTTGGGAATAAAAACCGACCTCATTGTTATCTCATGGTTGTAAATGGCATTTGACATTACACGAGAGCACTTTTTCCTATTTAGACTTCTAAATTAATGGGCACGTTATGCTTGTATCAGATAATAACTGAAAATCAAGTTACATTGTTACATCTTTCAAAGACGTTACACTGCATCTGATTTACTGCGAGTCATATTAAAAAGATTTAATTCGGATATAGTTCAAAAGGATTCGGGTTTAATTTTTGCATTTATAATTACTTAATTCAGTAATGGATGAGCGACCTTAATGTTGCATGTACTATCATGTGACTATAAGTAGATTGACATTTTTTTCGTTTGACCGTCTATTTTCTACATTGCTACTATATTAGCTATATAGAAACATTAATTTGAAAGTTTTTTTTTTTAATCATAAAAAGTATGGATTGTTTTTAAGAACATTTATTTGTAAATTGTAGATTCTGTCTTTTAAATTCACTTTGGCTATATAGACAATAATATGACAACTTTTTAATTTAAAGTATGGTTATTTTATTTGTCAATGTTCAATTTAACTTATTAAAATTTTTACATGTATTTCTTAATTTGGTCAAAATTAGGGATTGGAATCGATTAATCGAAAATCGACAAAACATAGTAAAATCGATTCTCGAGAATCGATTCTCAGCAATTTTTTACATATAAGTTAACCTGACTCCAAAGTAATTTTTCATGCCGGCCAAGTGCTGATTATTTTCGTTGAAGTTAGAAACTGATTCAAAGTTAGGTTGGTCGTCTATAAGAAAAATCTTGAAAAGATTCGATTTTCGATTCCAATCTCTAGTCAAAATAGTAATTGATTAGAAATACTATTTATTTTTTCTATTATATTAAGCCTTACTACTGAAGACTCATGTATATAAATACCTTAATATAATAAACTATAGATTATAAAGAAGATATCGGGAAAAAGCCCCTATTTAAGGGTAGGGTTCACCCCTTTATATGAACATATGGGTTTTATATGGCGAAATCTATGTCGATCATTTATTAATATCACGTGATGCCGAAATCGAACGAAAGAACTCAGTTAATTGCAAAAAAAATTAATATTTCATTAACTACTTAATAAATTTTATTAAATTTATATTCAAAAAGAAGATAGATAACCACTCCAATAATTTAAAAAAAATTTTTTAATCACTTATTAATATTTCTAAATAATATATGTAAATAAATTTAAAGAAAATAAATAATTTTATTCAAATATTGAAAACTTAATATCTTCATAAATTTCTAACATACATAACTTTTACTTGCAGAATCTCTTACTTTTGTCCTTTAATTTCATTATGAAATCACAAGATTCTAATCATTACTTCACAAAATATTTGATATTTTATATCTAAATAGTAATATAAGTTTTATTTAATTATTGAATTCTCAATAAAATTTTTGATAAATTTACTACTATAAATGCACTATCTATTTGCGAAGTATCAGAAAGTTTTAATTAATTTAAAGATAGGGTATTTAGCGGATTCGCAACTTACCTTAGAGGATTCGCAGTTTCTCACAACTTTTGACTTGCTTTTTGGTTTAATTTTATGAATAAACTGTGACAAAAACTATACTATTTGATAGACCTTAACTCTAAAAACCAAAGAGCAAAGTTTTGTTCAAGTTTCGTTGGTCAAAAAATTTTTTTACTTGTAACGAGACGATTTTTGCCATGATCTTCATATGATCACGTGACTTGACATATCATACCCATCTTCCCCAGTATCACCGACACTTTTTCCACCCCCACGTGATTTTGTAATATTCATCACCGGCATCACACCCCACCGCGTTTTCACTGTTTATATTTATCTGAGGGACTTGTTTTTTTTTTTTGCCTCACAAAATTATTTTTTTCACATCCCTTTAAATGTCACCGGTCACGTGGGGGTGGAATTTTAATTATAAAAGTGTCGGGTAAATTATCATACCCTTAAATATCACGTACTGTACATCACGTGGTATAATATTATTAATCGCGCTGCCAACCTTTTAACTTTTTTTTTCAAACTAAACTTTAATAAAAAACCTTTAAACTTTAAAGAAAAAGTTTAACTTTAAAAAAAAGGGATAAACTTTAAAAAAAGTTTAGTTAAAAAAAATAACCTTTTTTTTAACGAAACTTTCCTTTCTTACCCTTTCTCACTCTTTAGATCTTCCCTCCCATAATTTTCCATTCCTTTTTTTTTTGTTTTTTCCCTTTTACTACCTAGAGAGCTTCTTTTTGGGCCGCCAGTTCCAATTTCGAAGTACC